TTTTAGTTAACAGGTGGCATAAAATGTGTTCAATAAATGTCACCTGTGTCCATTTCAAAAGTCAGTTAAAAACTAATAATTTTAGCCCATAGCAAAACAAAATAAAACAACAATAAAATACACAAGTTTACAACTGATGGTTTGTAGTTTAGGTTTCTAGCGAGACCACAAACTACAAAGCATTGCTAAGACACTGATCATTTTTCCTCCTGTATGATATTAAACATCTTTTATGCATACATAAAACTATGTTTCCTGGACTATGTTCACTATTCCAGAAATCTTTTGGGTGTGATATTTGTAAGGCAGTATTGTTAGATTATTTCCTCACAATCTCACAAATTTCAAGTGAACTATTTTTCTAAAACATAGAGGGTTTCAAATAACAAATTTCAAAGTGACATTGTGCTATACAATTCATGAACACATCAACACTTTAAGTTAGTGATCTTCAATAATAGATGATATGACTAAATGAAATAAAAATAATCAAATAAAATGAATAGCTACTTTGTTCATTCATCCTTCTAAAAGTCCCATGCCACAAAACACTTGCATGCATGAGACAAATATAAAAATTCTCTTTCAGAAACTGCAAGGTTCAGAAAATTATGCTAAGCCACTAATGTTTTTTCACATGCTAAGAACTCCTATTGCTTAAAACATGAAAACAAATATAAAAACAAATTAATCCCAAGTTCAAATCCTACTACTTCCAAAAAAGAAAATAAATTAAAAAATAAAAACCCAGCCAATTTTCAAGCAACACTAATATCTAAGTGAAAGATTCTGTTACCATCAGCTAAAGATATAGAGACAAAATATAAGGTAACCAGTAACAACAGGCAATAATTCACATATAAATATTACAAGTGACGATTTAAGGAGAGACACTGTGTGTGTCAGCCACTCTGATCACACACTAAAATCATAGGTATAGTGGAGTATAACAATAGCTAAACTATTAACCCACTTCTCAACAAGGTTGGAAATGAAAATACTTTATTTTCTATGCTCTTTACAATTCTATTTACAAATTAAATTTGCCTTAAAATATGTACCAATAAATTTCTAAGATGTTGTGCATCTAATATCAAAGAAAAAAGTATAGACTGCAACTTTTTAGAAGCTAAAAGTATTCACAATGTACTACCAATATCCTTCAACAATATAAACAAAACTTATATTTTAAACTTGATTATCTTCTCTGATTTTTCAAAAAATTCATCAGTCTTATACAATTGCAATCTTACAGGTTAAATTGACCACTGAATTTTAGCCATGTCAAACTAACAACAGTGCAGGGTATTTGTTCACTGAAAGAAAATTTCACTTAACACTCTACTGTTCTGTGAGTTTAAAAAAAAAAATTAATGGATAAATGACTTGTGATGTAAAACAGTAACAACAGCAAAAAACACCACCCAAGTTACACAGCAATAAAACCAAAACATATTGAATCTAGGAGTAACACGATCAAATTTTAACTTTTAAAAATTGTGAGAGAAAATAATTTATATTAAATGTGATCTAGGTTTATAACCACAAATATGAAAACAATATATACACACAAGTAGATTCCAATATTACAGTAAAGATTCCTGATGGACTGATACGATGTTTCCAATGTCATACTATAGAATAAAAACAGGAATGTACAAATATCTAAAGCACACATGAAAATATTTTATACATTCTTTATTATTCTCACCCAATAATATATTCAATCAGTTTTTTCAATTACCTACTTGTACCATCTATTTAAGAATTTTAACAGATAAAATCAGCCTATTTATTAATGAAAACTAAAAACATCTTCTGATTCTAGGCAAAAGAATAAAAATTTGAAAAAAAACTGTTGCCATTCTGAAAATGCATACAGTAATATATTTCCCAAAATGAAATGAAATCAGAAAGCTGCTTTTTACTACAAAGCAACTTTGTGTAACATACTTGTAAAAGAATACAAAAATAAAACAAATTAGGTTTCTCTAATCAAGTAGGAAAAAGTATATTCCTAATCCATCATTAGTATGTTGGTATTCTGTAAGATTAGATTTTCTTTTTTAAATAAATTGTACGGCGCGGCAAGATGTAAAATAAATCTACCTGCAGATCATTTTTTTTCTGATTACAGGAATTGAATAATGCACTTTATAATTCTTCATCACACAATTTTCTCAAGATATTTTATTTAATACATGACACGTTGAAATACGCGATGTAATATCCAGTTTCATGATAAATTCATACCAATTAATGTGCAAAATGTTTTCTTTATTTCAACCAAAGTTATAAAACATTTCTAAGAAATGTAGAGTTGTTTACAATATATTAAAGATATAACTTGAGCAAAAAAGGAAACCAAACAAATTTGAGGAGACTAGTTTAGCTATAATTTCTTTAATGTAACCGTCACTTAAGTTGAAATTTATTGAAATTGTCCCAAAGTGACTGTATTCTGTATTATACCTCCAGGAGAAAGTTTTCAAAAATACATTAGTATTTTTACTAAGCCTTCGGAACACAATTACATTTAATTTCAAACTTTGATAATTAGGGTAAATTCATTAGGATAACAAACTGAGATACAATTTTGCCCAAATATTCTCTCTTACAAATAAGGAACAGAAAAATGCTTCATGAAATAAAGCATCAGGCATATTCATTCTAACAGAATATAACTTTCATAAATACATATTTGAATGTATTTGAAAGACACAAAAATGGTTTTCTAAATTACTGCATATGCCTACAGGAAATTTTTTATAGCTCGGCGATATAAATCATAATTTTATAATTTGGCTCACCTAAGATGTATAAAGTAAGCGTATCCTTTAGCTCATCTAAGATGTACAAAATAAGTATCCTTATGTATACCTGATTAAGAGAAGCTGAGTGAAGCTCAAAGGCTGTTATATTGAAGAATTCTAAGACCTTAGACAATTCCAACAGGCCATGGTCAAGGATGAACAGAAAGAATATTAAATTAAAATCTATCTGAACTAAAGAGACATAGCAGCCCTAACAGGTAATAACTGAATTAAAATCATATTTTAATACAAACTGCTCAGAACTCTTAAAAGCTTTGTACAAACTCTAAGGCTTTATTTTGTCCTTGAAATTGATTGCATAGTGTGAGATTGTTTTCCACCTGTTACAGGCAAAGTATAAGCCTTCTTTTATCCGACATTTTAACTCACATTTCATCAGTTACGTCACTACAGTCACAAAATTTTATTCAATGCATTCAGCTTTCCACTTTTTCTTTCCGAAGGAGATTCTTGCTCTATACAAATAACATGCCTCAGAATTATAAAAAAGCAATTTCTATGTAATAAGAAAAAATGCAAAACTAAGTAGACTAAAGACAAAAGATCTAATTCTCAGTGCACCCTTTCCAATCCACTGAAAATAAACTATATTCAAATGAAAAGGCATTTAATTTACTATTTGGAATATCCTTGATAAACACCAATTTTCTGTAACACCCCTGCACATCTGATACCACCTCATGTATAATGCAAAAAAGCTATTTCATTTTCATCTATTGACAGTGAATTTAATTTATCATTGCAGCTCTTTTCCTAGAACCATCACGTTATTAATTCTGCAATCAAGCTCCTTTGAGTGCTTTTATTTGTACTAAGGGTTTTCACAATTCCACACTGATTTTTTTTTATAATATACCTTTTAAATATATAAGTGTGAATAAATCAGCAAACTTTCTTAATGCATAAGGAAAGTTTCAGAGACAAGGAAAGCCATCTGCAAAACTACACTTACAAGAAACAAACTTTAGAGGGACATCATATCTAATAGATTGCAGTTTAATAAATTTAATGTTAACCAAAAACACTACAATTTACTTTATATTCTTTCAATCATTCTAAAATCTTCTTCTCTGGTATAATGGTCCACTTCTACCTTCAAATGACTGGCTATGAAATAAAGTCCTCCAAGTGTTCTGCAACATTCATGCCAGATGTTTTTGCTGTGTTAAGGAACTGTAACTGAATTAGATCACTGAAGGTACACCAGCTTTTCTTTTCCATCAGGAAAAAAACCAAAAAGCAGTATCAGTCCTCTCAGCATTGATTGATATTTGTATAACCCTCCAAAATGCCAGAAAGCTATGTCCAAGTAAAAGCAAATCAGCCAGCAATGTTTTGTCTAAGCATTACCCTATTTCAATATGAAGATTTCTCCATTAAACTTAAGATACATATATTGAGTAACCAAATGACTTTAAAAAAAGAAAAGAAAAACATGAACATGCAGAACTGTATAACACTAAGTAAAAATACCAAAAAGTGAAAAAAAAAAATGATACCAAGGCAACTTGCCATACTCCAGTAGGTTGCTGTACCACTGTAAACGTAATTTTTTAATCAAATACAGACCTTAAATAAAACAAAATTTAAAGCATTATTTTACTTCTTGCATAATAATATGGTAAATTTTCTTATTCCATTATATTAAAACCAAAATATTTTAAAAATCTGAAGAGACAGCACTTGTCCTCTTCATTCAAGGCCAGCAAACAAAGCAATGAAGCAGAAAGAGGTACATAGTGGATTCAGAAGTAAATGGTCCATTCTTTAAGAAACCTCCCTACCCCCCTCTTTTGAATTCACTCTAGACTAATTGTCATTACAATGAGGTCTGAAAACTTCAGAAAAACCTTATTTCCTGATGCCAGCCACCCAGGTTTCTAACTTTACATTTTTAAGGTTTTTTCCTAATAAGACATATTCAGAAATATCCAAGAGAATAAAACTGCAATTAGTCTAAATCACATACACAGTATATCAATTATAGGAAAAATACATAATCAACAATGGAAATACACTGACATTTTTCCCACAATATACTCTAGTACAGCAATATGTGAGTATCCACTACTGTTTAAATTTTTCTTTCAAGAAAACACACAACACATGTAGATCTATTTCTTTCCTTGGGGAGTCATCAAACAACCTCTTCACCATTGCACCTACCTGGGTAAAAATCTTTGGACTTAGACAGCTTGATGGTGGCTCCAGTTTCTTTTTGCAACTGAACAATTGTCTGTCCTCCCTTCCCAATTATAGATCCAGCAGCATAACTAGGTATGAGAACCTTTAGAAAATACTGGCCGTCTTCTGAAAAATGCAAAGAAATATATCTGGTTAACATGGTATTTTTAACTTTTGTATCCCCACTCCACCCTCAAGAGAGAAAAATAGCAACTAAAAGCACTGGTCATATAGCTGCAGGAGACAGGGAATTTAAAAAAATTTTTAAAGCATTAAAATACACCTATTACACTGAAAACTAAATATTAACAGAATGTTTCCCATTTTGTGGGTGTATAGTTTCAAACTTGGAATTAAAAATCAAAACACATTCTAATATTTTGCAGCACTGTGTAGAAACTGATGACTAAATTCCAGTTGTTATTCCAAACATGGAAGTCTTCCAATTCTATCTGTGGTTACTATGGCAAAATGAAAGAAACTGACCCTTTAACAAAACTTCAGAGATTTGTAAAAGGACAAACCTTCACTTAACATCTTGAACAAGGAAAAAAAAAAAACCCAGGTCTGTAAATAGTGATGAGCAAAATTTGTCATTAGCAATCAAATAAGGACCACTATTTGCCACAGCCTATATCCTACTTAAAGTACGCAAAACAACCATTCTCCTAATAAATAATCCACCCAAACTGCAGGGTGTATTCCAAGCCTTCAGTAACTGCCAAGTAAAAACTCAACGGGGTGAACTAACAAATCTAACTAATCCTGCTGTATTTCTTCAGCACTTCTTAGCCTACTATCATCTCGTTTAAGCTCATTAATTAAAGGACCTTACGAAGAATTCTGCCAATACTAAAAAGCTTAGGAGTCATTTATATGAAACACACTTGAAAGTGACCAATAGATAAAATGTTCCTTCTCCAAAAGAACGATAAACCGGAGCGGGGGCGGGGGGGGGGGACGCTGAACCAAGAACAAGAAAACTGAAATGTTTTCGAAAATAAAGCCAACTCCATAAACTTTGATTTCCGTCAACCTGCTCATGTCTTAAATAGGAAACACCCCGGCAGATCCAGCTTTTTCCTGTGCATGAATATTCCAAATTTTGCGGAGTGCCGCTCACAAGCCCCCCATCCGCCTCTAACATACACGCGGGAGATAAATTCACCTCTGCTTCGATGCATTGGGTGCATTGTTAAGATGAGTCCAGTGCAAATGAAGAAGCCACACCGGTCCCGTTATAACTCATCTTCCAAGAAGGCGCAGGACGGTAACTACCAAGTCACCGTACCAGACACCCCCCTCGTATGCACACCCCTGAAGACAGATCAATGAGGTATTTGTACCGACACCACCAGTGCGGTCGGTCGGGGCACGCACTCATCAAGATTTCTGCATACTACTTGTGGCCCGAAGCACAAACTCTCCAGTGCCCCAGTCATTTGCAGTCCGCTACCCGAGTGCCATTTATTTATTTATTTGAGCAGACTGTTCAAGGCAGCGCGCATCTTCGGGCGGCCATCCCCTTCACTCGGGGGTCCTCCTCCTCCTCCTCCTCCTCCTTTAGCCGACCCCCTGGCCCAGATCTAGGATATTTCAAGGGTCAGTCTGGCGACCGATTAAACGGAAAGATACATCTATTCCGAAAACCTGGTCGCCATTTTGATGAATGATAAACAGCGGAATGGAAATGTGCCGGGGCCGGCGGGCTCGGGCAGGTGCAGGGGAGGGGGCGCGGAGCCGCCGGGCTCGGGCTCGGGCTCGGCTCGGGCTGCGGTGTCCGGGCCGCGGGCGGCGGGCGGCGGGCGGCGGGCGGCGGGCGGGCGGGCGGAGGGAGGGAGGGAGGGAGGGAGGCAGGGCGGGCGGGCGGCGGGGGATGGGGCCAGCGGGGAGGTGGAAGCGATACCCACCGCCCGTATTGGTCCTCTTGGTGCTGCCGGCTTCAGGGGGGGCTTCCAGCGGCCTTTTCCGCGAGTCCGGCGGGTCCAGGTCTATGGGAACCCCAGTGTGGGTCCCGTTCTGCTGGATGGGAGCTGCCGCCATCATGCTTGCAGTTCCTGCCGCTGCTACGGGGAGAAGCTTCTCCCTTTTGTTTTGGCTTTTTCTTTTCTTTTTTTGCGTTTGGGGTTTCTTAAGGTTTTTTGTTTAATCGGATCAATAGCAATCTCTTTAGGAAAAGAAGCAATGTTGCTGGTTTGTTCTCACTGGGGAGGGGGCAGGGCCGAGGAGCAGCTGCAGTGCAGTGTCAGAAAGGAGACAGGGGAATGGAGGGGGTGTGAGAGACGGAGGGTGAAAGAAGGAGAAGAAAGGAGCGAGGGGGAGCGCGGGGAAGGAGAGGGGCGCGTGAATGAGCGGGAGGAGGGAGCGGAGGACGAGGAGCAGGAGCGAGGGCTGGCGGGCGGGCGGGCGCGGGAGCCGCGGCGGAGGAGGGAGCGAGGGAAAGAGTGAATGGGAGCGGAGCGGAGCGGGCGGGGAAGGCAGGCAGGGATGCGGAGGAGCGCGGCGAGGGCCGGGAAGAGCGAGCGCGGCGGTCGCTGCGCCGGCCGCGCTAGCGCTGCGCTCGCTCCCGCTGCTGGTGCTGCCGCCGCCGCCGCTGCCGGAGCGGTTCTGCCGTTGCCTGGGCTGCTTGGCGCTGCTGCTGCTGCTGCTGCTGCCGCCCGGTCTCGCTCATTATTTCTCCCGCGCGTGTGTGTGGGGGGGGGGTGGCGGGCGGGAGGGAGGGGGCCGGCTGCGAGGGGAGGGTAGAGAGGGCTGGAGTTCGGAGACTCCCACACACTTCGCGCTCGGGTCTCTGCCTCTCAGCAGTACCGCCGCCGCCGCCGTCGCCTCCCCGCGCCGAGCCTCTCACTCAGCCGGCGGGGGGCGCGGGGGAGGGCGTGCGTGTGCGCGGGGACGCGGGGGCGCGCGGCGGGGGCGAGGACCCGGGCCCCTGCGCTCCTGTGGGAAAGCAGGGGTGAAAGGTCGCCGGTCCCTGGCAACACGGCTCAGGCAAACGTAAGCGGCTTGTCCCAGAAACCAAGGGTTCCACGAAACGCGCTAGGCTGGAAGGCGGGAAGGAGAGCTTACTGACAGCCGTGCTAGCCAATAACATGGGGAGGTGGGAACGGTTCCTCGGGCCCCCTCCCAATCAGGACATTCCAGGGAAGCGGGGAGCCGAGGGCTGGGACGGGATCCTGGTCCAACTGGGACTGAACCGGCTAGTTCTGTTTTTGGCTAGTCCGAGAAGGGCATTCGAGTGACCGGTCACAACGGGTGGGACAACGTCAGGGCCGGGGACGAGCCCCAGTGTAAGCTTCCGGGACTTGTAGCCAGGTGTGCTAGTTTTTATTTGTAAGAGTTTGGCAGAAGACGTCAATTAGCATCTGAGTGATAGGCGATTTTCTGCAGTGAGATTTCATCTAGAGAGGATTTCGTACTCGCACTTTATGATACCGTCAGGGACGTAGAGTGTCACTCGCCGCCCTAAATCCTTTCGGGAACAAGCCAGGATATAAATAAATAAAGCTAGATGTGGGTCTCCACAAGAAGCCGGTAGGCAGACTAAAGACAGGCAACAGCTGAGTATGCACACAAAAGTAAATATTGAACGAAATACAAAGGCAGGAATAAAACTCATGGCATTTTGCACAGGTTTTGATTAGACAGATGCTGGGTATTTCAACGAACCGGAACCTCAACCCTACAACAGTACAGGGGGAAAAAAAAGAAGAAGAAGAAAGAGGTATCTAGGATGGACATTGAAAGGACTGTTGAGATTATTTAAATAAAGTTCTTCCTTTTGAAGATGAGTAAACTGACTCAGTGAAGTACTTTGTTCAAGGTCGTTCATCAAGTTAGTAGCTTAAATTAACTCAGTGTGCTAGGAAGCAGTGGTAGTGGAAAACCTGGACTTAAGAGTCTGAAATAGTGTTTTCAGGGCCTTCCAAGTTATTCATATAGGGTGTCTTGTGCAAATCCCTTAACGTAGTGCCGTTTATTAAATGTTTACCACGTAGCAAACAATCCACTTTACATGTTCTGTCCATTACATGCCGTCCATCATGTAGTATTGCCATCCCCTTTTTATGAGGCGCTTTCGTTAGTAATTTATCCAAAGTTGCACAGTAATAAACATTATAGTAATAGTTCAAACTCAAATCTTCCAGACTCCATACTCTATCATCTTGAATATTACAATGCACTAAAGCTTTGAGTTCTTCCGCAGTTAAAACAAGGACTGCAGCTGTAATTCATACAATTCTTAAAAGTCAATTGAGGTAATATATATGGCAATGTATTATAAGCAATCAAAGAGGCATGAACATTGACTAGATTTCCTCTACTTTTCCACAATAAGCACTTCAACTTGAAAGACGGCTAACCGAGCATAAGAAGGGACTTCACTATACTTATATGGTATCCTAATAAAGAATATATCCATATCCGAGGCAACAACCAAAGAAAGTGGAAGAAAATTGATTCCAGATAGATTGAAAAGGGAATAGAAAAGAAAACTAGCCCTACTCAGGGTGTTCTCTTAGAGGAAGCTATCCTGAAGCACTGTGATTTCTGGTGCTTTTTTAAGTAATGAAAGAGGTGACAGTCGACTGAAAAGAAAGAGAATAATGTTTAGTTTGAGCCTAAACTTCATCTGACCTGTGAAAAACGCATTCGCCTCAATTGTGAAAATGTGCTGATATATAAAAGAAGAGAAAGCAAAGAGAGTGTGTATTGGCAAAGGTCTATGAGCCAGAGTCTAGAAAGTAACAGTAACATGAGACGTCTTCATGACCAAAATAAAGAGGATTTATACACAGAATTGTGTAGAAAATGGAGCTAGGGTGAGGGAAAAAATAGGGTTTGGAATAAGTAGTCAAGATAATAAAAGTCTGATGCCAGAAATTGTGCAAAGTGTTCTGTAGAGTGTATAAAAATATGTGAGGACGCTGTGAACGAAAAAGGCTAGTGCTTGGCACTGAATTATTTTGAAAAAGTAAAAGACAAGGTACAAAGATAATTGAAAGACAAGCATAACTCTAAGATATGTTGCAATAAATATTGGTCAAAATATTCAGTAAAATTGGAGAAGGATTGGGTTCAGAATCGGGAAAAACTAGAATTTAACAAATTTCTATCAATGAAATATTTCTAAAATAGTTTGGAAAAAGTCTTTGCCTTGTGTTAGGTAAGTTCAAAATGAGCCTCCTCAGTTAAATTGCCTTACAGATAACATTCTTATAAAAAAAGTGTTATACTGTACTCTGTGGTATTTATTTGACCCTTATTTCTTTCCTTGAGCTTAATATTTAAATAACTACCTGCCACTAACAGAAGATAGGATTTTTAATGTAGATGAAAATCTTAATAGTAGCCTCGCTATTATTATATTACAGAAACTATCCCAAGATATGGTCAGGCATGTAAGGATTAATCAGCTATAAACTGAGCAATGAATGTTACCGCGCAGAACATTTAAATCACCTTCATTTCCTTCATATTTTTGTTGTTTTAAAAAATATACTTGTACATTATTCTTATTGCATATGCCTCTACAGTCCTGACAAGATAGACATAAAATGAACATTTTGCTTGCTGTTGTCTGCATTTTGTGCAGAATAATAAAAGTGAAGAAACAAAAAAAATGAATAGCAATTCCTGGTTTATTAATATAGAATATACTTTTTATGCTACAGATAAAATGCATAAGCTTGTCAAAAATATAATAGAGGCATTTGATGTTTTAATTCTCTAAAAAGAAATTATTTTAATGTACCAAACAACTGAGACCTGCTCACTTAATATTTTCCAACAACTTAAGACACAAGAGAACTTGCTAATTATTTGTGTTGTGAAGATAAGAAACTATGATAGAAAATGATAGTAATATAAAGAACAAAATTCCCTAGTCTTTTTTTGGCTTCAATTGGTGGCTCTTTTTTTCCTGTTTCAAATATGTGACATAGAAAAAATAATCTGTTTGTTGTAGCAATGATTGTTTTCAGGAGAAAATACAAATAGTTGATCCCTGCAGATATTCCTAAACCCACTTGTTTTCATGCTCCTGCCTTTCCTGCAATCAGTTCTACTACTGATGAGCATAAGCACTGTCTCCACCTGAATTCTCTTCAACTAAGGTCTTCAGAAATAGTTTCTGAATTTGTGTCCCACCAGAAGTAGATGCTGAATTAACAATTCAAGCGAAAGTAGTCTATTTTGTAAGTGATTTCAGGAAACACAGAAGGGACATGAGGAGTTGAGACACCAAATGAAGGATATAGAAGGTGAATTACCAAGAAAGTTATCACTGTGATTAAATGGAACTTAATCTCACTTGGATTTCCTATAATCCACTTTAAAATACCAGCCTCAGGACTATCCCACAAAGTGTAAGAAAGTTGAAGTGTTTGTACACCAACTTCCTTTAACTATTGAGTGGGATCCAATGATTCAATACCTGCTGGAAAGGCTTCCAACTGCCAGCACTGCATTGTTCTCAAAGGACTTTCTGTAGTACCTGGAGACTGCTCTGCCTTTACACAGGCTGGAAATGCTGGAGCGTTAACACACCTTGCAGTGGAACATCCCGCTGTCATGGAAAATCAGGCCACCGTGCACTTAAATGGTAGGACAAGAAGATATGAGTGGGGTACTGCCAGTTTATTATAAGTATCAACATTTTATTTTAGAAAAGGAAAAAGGAAAAGCAGTCTATTATTACAAAATATTCTTATTTCACTTGACATGAGAGAATTTGGAAACTTTAAAGGTAAAGAAACTAAATGTGGAAACTAAAAAGATAAAGGTTTTTTTTTAATTTACACAATCCAAATATTATAACGAAGTATTGATCATTTAAAGCAATAAGTCTGAATAATTTGCTTTTCTATGCACATTTTTAGTTTTTTAAGATACAAGGCATGAAGAATCAATGTATATATTCTATTTTTTTTTCATTCAGTGGAGCACAAAGAAAATATGCAAATATATTCCAAAAATATATAATAACTCTCCTTTTTATAAGTTCTACAAATAGACATATTGATTACGAGTTCTAAAAATAGACATATTTTAAGATTGCACTATTAAAACTGATTTATTGAACTTCATATTCTCAAAAATTCAAACAGCTTTTATGTTTATGTTTTCAATGATAAAAT